GGGGCAGGAACCACGGGTGGTCCTGGCGATGGGATGCAGGCTCCACTAGGGGTTCTGGAGGGCAGAAAGGAGTACTCCAGAAAGAAAGATGGCTAAGGAATTGCAGTGCCTGGGCTTTAGCCTCTGGCCTTTGCTTCACTAGCTGTGACCTATGTTTTAAAAATCACTTAATATTCCGACAGCCACTCAGATGCCTAAAATGTCCTAGAGAAATCAAACACTGAATGACCTTTCATTACAGAACCATCACAGGCGCCCATAAAGTCCCCACCCCCACCCCCACCCCACGACTGGAACTGGACTTTCCAGGTGATCATCCAGCTCCTAATCTGGTCTGGATGTTCCAGCTATGACCTCTCAGGGAGGCAGCTCAGCCGTAGCCTCCGTGCAGGCCTCTGGGACACAGAGAGCCGCCAACCACTGCCCCTTGTCAAGCACAACTTCCGGCAGCATTCTTAGCAGGTGGAAGGCACTGAGGGAGGGTAGTTATTTCTTGTAGCATCTTATTTTGTAGAGCAGAGAGCCAAGTGAGTCTGCAGATTTTAACTCAATACAGATATCAAGGAAATGAGCCAGAGAGCCAGCCGTCCACCCCAACAGGAAGCAGGAGTCTCACTCCTCCCTGTAAGCCTTCGATGCATTGCAGTCCCTTCGCACATCAACAGCGGGCCTTCTCCAGCCCCTGCAGTGCGTAAATCCATGTGCTTGAAACCTTGCCCTTGTCTGGCTTGTGACCTATGCTCCATCCAGCCGCTTATTTTTAAAGCCCAAGTTTTAACCCTGTTCAGAGTATAAATAGGTTGTCACATACCAGCTCCCGCGAACACAGTGTAAGTCGCTTCTTATCTAAAGTGGTTTGGTTCAGTGTCTTGGGCTTTTTTTCAGCTTCAGAGATGAAGGAACTGAAAGAGAAGAATAACAATTTTAAAGCTTCTTCTTCATGAAAATCCACTTACATGATTCCAGAGATTTGCAAGTACGCTTTCCACAGTCCGATGGAAAGTTAGTGGGTCCACAGAAAGAATTAACAATGCACTACCTTTCAACAAAATGAGAACCGGAAATGGGGCCCAGACCCCTCGTTAGTTTTGGGAAATGAGTATTTACCTGTTTTCTTTCATAAGATGTCTATGGTGGTAATGATCAAGAATTTCTTTTTTCTTTCTTTCTTTCTTTCTTTCTTTCTTTCTTTCTTTCTTTCTTTCTTTCTTTTTTTTTTTGGTGGAACCGGGGATTGAACTCAGGCCTTTGCACTTGCCAGGCAAGTGCTTACTCTACCGAGCTATCTCCCTGGCCCCTGATCAAGAATTTATAACAACCACACACAAAATAAAATAATTATCCTTTGCCTTACAAATTTAAAGCACACTACAAATTTCCTGGAAAGTCGTATGTAAAGTAAATACTTATTTTTATTTTTATCATAGTGATTCTTCTGTCTCAGCCTCCCCAGTACTAGGATTACAGGCGTGCATCACCATGCTCAGTCTTGTAAAAAAAAAAAAATGTATCTACACATATATATATATACACACACACACATTTCATACAGGGTCTGCAGGGGTTCACTACGTAGATAGGACTCATAGTGATTCTCCTATTCTCAGCCTCCCCAGCACTGGGATTACAGGCACGCCCCACCATGCCCAGTCTAAATTAAATATTTTTGACTCAATACTGAAATGTGTCCCAGTCTTCCTGAGTAATAACATTCTTTTGGCAGTGAAGTTAAGAAAATGTTCGTAGGCAAATGAAAAGGTTATAAATGAAATTCAAGAAGAAACGTAAGTGGCAAAAAAAAAACTGAAAAAAATAAGATACTGTCCTTATTAGTGATCATTTAAATGCAAATTAAAATCAGTACTATTTCATCTAAAAATGAACAGTTAAGGTTGGCAAAGGCGTGGAAGAGTGCAGGAGAGAACCCATTACTGTAGAAGAGAGTAAGTTATGACAGCGTTCTAAAAACCACCTGGTAGCACATTTAACACCTAAATGTACATATAATTTGATCAAAAATTACTCTAGAATTCCTACCCTCCCCAAACACCTGAACAATTTGGAAGCACATGCTTACACTATGATATTTACTGGGACACTTTGTAGAGTAGCACAATAAAGGGGTGCAGTGTCGTATCATTAGGGCCTAGGAACTGAGCAGAGGAAGTCCTTGCGTGCCTTGGCAGAGGTACCCGTGACAGACTGTTAAGGAATGGAGGCCTGCGGAGCACAGCGAGTGCCGCCCCTTGGGAAGAGGCAGAGCGCCTTCACGAGTGTGTCTATGAGGATGTGCCTTTGCAAGTGTACACGCACACACAAGTGTCTAGACGTCCTCGCTGGAGAGTGGGCTTGGAGAAGCAACGGACGCTACGTCTGCTTCCTCCTCCCCCGCTTTGGGGTGTGTCTGCTTCTTACCATGAGCCTGTGGTCCTTCTGGGAAGAAAAGCACTTACAGAGGAAACACAGAGGGGATTCTGAGTAGAGCTGCATTTCATCTTGATTTGTCTTAAAGCACACAAAGTATTACTTTTTGAGAGTCTCCTTGCCCCATTCCTGCCTTTCTGAGCAGCACATAGGATTCCACGCAGGATCTCCACTCCACATGGGGAGAAACGACCAGCTCTCTTATCAGAGTAGAGGCAGTGATCCGCCTGGCTTCCCTTCCTTCTCCATCTTCCTGACCCACCCTGGCTGCTGGCTAGGGGTGCCCTGCGTCACCTCTGCATGCATGGCCTGTCACTTGTCCTCACTGGAGGAGATGCCAAAGTCCCAGCTGCTCAGCCACAGGTATCACGGTGGGGAGCAGAGAGCCCACCCCACCTTGGGTCTAAGCTGCTGTCTGAGGTCTAGACTTGCCGAACATAAAGCTCACATTTTGATCTTTGAGTGACCTCATGAATATTTTTTTCAGTTGGTTAGAAACTCAACAAAAAAGTGAAATAGTGATCACCTTCCAGTAACGCCCTAATACACAATGTTAGTGAGCTGTTCATTTGCCTAAAACCGGTTTCTGAAAATGTCAGATTACAAAGCTTTTTAAAGATGCTGAAAGGAAATTGCAGGTGGCCACTAGCTCACAGCAGGAGTAGTATTCATATACATTGCTTTTGTGTATATTGCTAATATATAGCACTTCTCCTTCATGTAAAAAGTGAAGGAAAATAGAGGTACAATGAGCTAGATCTTTATTTCTTCCTCCCTCCATCTCTTGGTCCCTGCCTCTTTCCAAAGTTCTCTCTCTCTCTCTCTCTCTCTCTCTCTCTCTCTCCTTCTCTCTCTCTCTCTCCTTGTTTCTTATTCTCTTTTATTTTGTTCCTTAACTATTTGTGCTTTTGGGGGAGGGAGGGAGGGAAGTGATGGGGTGAAAAAAGATTGAAGATGTGTTATGTACATGTGCCAATGTCCTACAAGAAATGTGACCATTATGTACTCAAACATGGGCTAATAAAAATAAAATGCCAGGGCAGGTGAGATAGCTCAGTGGACTAAGCAACTGCTTTGGCAAGAACAGGGACTGCAGTTCAATCCCCGGCAGCACATGCCACCCTGGCCATGCCCCCATAGGCAATGAGCCGGCCACTGAGACCAGGCGTGGTGGCGCACACCTGTAATCCCAGCGCTGGGGAGGCTGAAAACAGGAGGATCACTGAGCTGCTGTCTCAGGTCTAGACTTGCTAGTCTCAGCTGTGTACTGACATGCTTTACCAAATAGTAAATAAATAAATAAAATACCATGAAGAAGAAAGGGTCAAGAGGTGATGCTGCTCCCTTAGAAGCACTAAAGAGCGAGAAAAGAAGCAGCTATCAACCACAAGCTGGGAGGTCGCTGTGCTGGGCATCCTGGTGCATCTTCATTAATGCTGAACCGATTTGTTCTAGTAAAAGCTGAAGGGCTGAAAAATATTTTGTTTCTTTCATTCTATAAAATTAAATCAGCTGACTATTTGAGAGATTAGGAAGTAGAGAATACAAAGCAGGATAATCAAGTTTACCTACTGCCTATTTCCTGGTTTTTGCCTTTCACCAAATTAATCTCTATTCCTTTTCTATTAATCTCATTCAGTCAAATTCTCATTTTTGCTCATCTTGAGATAATTAAGAGTTGGTCAAGTTGTTTCCATGTGGGGCAGGCACCCTGTAAGATGGTCTCCAGCGAGCCTCACCTCCTGTAATTCTGTCCCTCTGCATGTGACCTGCTCCTAACAGAATGTTTCAAGAGTGACACAGAGACACTTTCGAGTGAAGTCCTGGTCACTTCCATCTTACAGGCAGGTCCTTTCTGCCTCTCTTGCTCACCCTGATGAAGGAAGCTGCCACACTGTGAGAGACAGAGTGGAGCTGGTGCCCGCTGTGCAGCGGCTTATGAAGAGCTAAATTCTGCAAATAGCCACGTGAATGACCTTGGGAGTGACTCCCTCCCAGCCGAGCCTGGAGATGTCTTCAAGCCAAGCCAATGCTTTTGCACTTGAACCCAGGAGAAGTCCTAACCAGGGGACCCCTCTGAGTCCTTCCTGAATTCCTGACACATAGAAACCATGAGATAATAAATATTGTGTCTATTCACTGAGTTTTGGAGAAATTTGTTACTCACACACAACTATATATTCTGTTATGGTTTGTATCTAGAAGACCCCAAAGCCCCATACAGTGTTGGATGGGTTTGTTTTCAGGGTTCTTTCTGAAGTAGCAGAACCTAGAGCTTGTGATTGAGTCGTGGTTCAGTGCTAGGATTCAGGGTGCTGGAAGGAAGGGCAGGTGACTGCTGGATCGGGCACTGATTGGACTGGCACCTCCCTAATTCGGGTAGGCTGGGTACGGTATCAGGGCAGAAAGAGGCTTGTCTCGCACTTCCCTCGCCTGCTTTTGCTGTCTTCCACTGCCATGAACTGCTGCCCTCTGCCATCCTCCCGCCTTGGAGCCAGCTGATTACGGACCGAAACCTCTACAAACTGTGAGCTAGATACACCTTTTCTCCTTTAACTTTGGGCGTCTGCTACTTTGTTTCAGCAACAAGAAAAGTAACTAAGATGTCGCATTTTTAAATCTTTTATAATATTGCCTGACACCTACAGTAAGAGTCATTATTAATGTGCTACATGGAAATTTCAATTAAGTCATACACTATTTATCCATCTAGTTGTCAAATAGTTGCTGAATATCTACCAAACGCAGAGCACTGTGCTGGGCACTAACTCTATAGGAATTTTGTTTCATTGAAAAACTCTGCACTTAATTTGTCGGTCTGTATGTCTCCCTTTTGGTTTATGTGGTAGTTGCCCAAGAGTCCAGAAGCAGAAGTTACCCACAAGTGCCAGCTAGAACATTGCAAAAATAAAGAAGGCTGTAACACTGCACAGCGCCAGAGTGAAAGCCTGGGGAGCAGACTGCCTCCCCGCGGCAACCAAGGCCCGATTCTGCTGAGCTCAGCTCTGGTCTGCCGGCACCTGCTCCGACTGATGAAGTCACCCAGCACGGCCTTCATTTTCTCCTCTGGTGCCTCCTTGGAAATCTTGACCAGTTCTCTCACTTCTTCTATTCCTTCTTCCTGCGAACAGACCACAGGCAGGGAGGATGAGCAGTGGGGCTTAGAGGAGTACTAGAGGTATGGATCGAACATTCCAGAATATATGGCTGGGGTTATTTTTGCTACTGTTGTTTCAGAAATGAAAGCAGAGTTCTTGTGCTTGAACTGGAAGTGTCACTTCATCCTAACTTTGTACCTTCTTTTTCTCAGTTAAAACTGTTCCAGAGAGTGTCTTCATCTCTATTTCTCAAGCTCATCATTTCTGCCACAGATTTGTTCTCTAACTGGGAGCTATTTCTTTAGAGTCTACCCTGTGGGAGAAACCTAGTCTTGTGAGAAATCTAACAATGTAGGATTAAATTAGATATAATTATCAAAAGTCAAAAGCTGTGCTCCAGTCAGTTTTTCGAACAGTAATATATCTATATTGAATCATTTCTGAAGTTAAAAGCTATGCATTCATCTGATTATATGAATTTTGGCCTTGGAATGGCAGGTGTATATAGCAATGACTACATACTTATAGACTTAATAATTTCACTTTTCCTTTGGGGCTTAAGTTCTAGGATTCTTTTCAGGAGCCTGGGGGAAAATGATTCTTGAGGGCCGGGGAGATAGCTCAGTAGAATAAGAGCTTCCGAGGCAAGTGCAAGGGCCTGAGTTCAACCCCCAGTTCCAGGAAGAAAGAAAGAAAGAAAGAAAGAAAGAAAGAAAGAAAGAAAGAAAGAAAGAAAGAAAGAAAGAAAGAAAGAAAGGAAGGAAGGAAGGAAGGAAGAAAGAAAGAAAGAAAGAAAGAAAGAAAGAAAGAAAGAAAGAAAGAAAGAAAGAAAGGAAGAAAGAAAGAAAGAAAGAAAGAAGAAAAGACAATGATTCTCGACCACCATCGTACACACTGCCACTGCTTTTCGAGAATTCACAAATCTCTTTTCTATCATATGCCAGAGTCTGGTGCCAGGTTCGTGTTTCCCTCTTTCTCCCTTCACTAGAAAAACAGGCAACATCATAGAGTATTAAAGATTTGGAAACTGGGGTCACACTTTCTGATTCAAATCCAAGTTCTACTGTTTACTCCTTATGCCCAATTTCCTCATCTGTAAACTAAGGTAAGAATAACCCACCAACAACACAGAATGGAGTGTAAGCTATGTCAGGTTAGCTGTGACTGAGATGGGAATTAGAGAGAAGGGTTCACGCTTCTATGGTCTCCAAAAAATTCTGATTTGTTTTGTTAAAACTCAGAAGTAACTTCTGTATTCTGTCTGAAGGAGAATCAAGCCCCAAAGACAATCTGTGGCCTCCACATGGTGTGGTCGTGCCAGGCCTCTGGGGTGCCCTCAAAGCTTAGATCCTGGGTGCCCAGAATCCCATAGCTGGAGATAACATGCTGCTCTAAACAAGATGACTGAGCAAACAGAAGGAGAAATTCATTCTCTCCTCGGGATAGGCTCTGATGGAATGCGAGGGACAAGACAGGGGTCGTTAGTGAGGGGAGTGAGCAGTGGGCGGAGGACAGGCCTCCCGAGACACACGGAGTGGGAAGCAAAATGAGAGAACAGGAGGAAAGTGCTGGGGGGAGCCAGGACTTAGAGATTCTGTCAAAGGTTTGCAGGCTCCTGGCCCTCAGAGATAAGAAGCCAGCCTATTGCTAGGTCACCTAACTGCAGGGCAGAGAAGGAATCTGTGAACTAAGACGACAGTTTGACTTAAAGTCCAGGGAGTTTTCAAAATGTATTCTCATTCCCCTGGGTCCATGTAGCAGAAGACACATTGCTCCCAAAAGACAACAGCCTCGATTCAGTGACATGGAAACTGAGGCAGGGGCCCTGTGCTGAGCAGAAGAGCCTGCCTTCTGCGCCCAGTTTCCTGCTCCAACCGGAGCCGCTTACCAAGAGGTCTGCCATTTTCTCCAGCATGTTTGACCACTGCAGCCTGAAGGTCTGGTCCCCCCAGGAGCTGGTGAAGGAGACGCAGGGCTTCTTGGCCTCGAGTGGCAGGTAGTTGTAATTCCTGTGAAATCACATTAGGTCTGGAAGTTAGTTGTCCATCGGTGTTTTTCCGGCAACTCCAGCCACACATTCCTGTTGTGTAGGCTCTGATGGGGACGCAGGGGAGTGGAAACAAAGCTATCAGACATTAGCAGCACTCTCAGTCGTACTGGGGACATGAAGAAGCCATGCAGTCATCCAGCTGCAGCGGGAGGCAATAACAGCCACCATCAGGCCTGGGAAAGGCTTAGAAATGATCAGCAGGAGACAGGGTTTATCAGGCAAGACTTTATCAAGAAGTTTTGGATGGAGAGCAGAAAAAAGGGAGGAAAATTAACTTGCTAATTTAGCATCTATATTCCAGGAACGTGGGAGGGTCAACGGGGATAACAGATAACAATGCACCTTGTAAAATGAAATTGCTAGAGAGAGGTAAGAATATTATTAATGAGGGTGGAGGCTAATGTTCCAAACTCGATTTCAATATTCTGTGTCTTAGGATCCACCCGCTCATCCAGCCATCCAGCACTAATTGTTGGTAGACATTGGTACTAATAATGTACGTGACCTGCTTGGCTAACGTGAAACAAAAGGGACAGCCAAGTGGCTAAAAGGAAGAGACGTGGAGCCACAGAGGACGTTTGAGCGTACTGCAGGACATGCTTGCATGCTGATGAGAAGAGCCAGCTGACAGGTAAGACGGAAGACAGAAAAGAAGGAACTAATTCACAGATCTGGCTCCCAAGGAAGAAGCGGGTGGTGCAGAAGCAGATGAGGTGGAAGAAGTGCCGAGGTCCCCTCCCTATGATGGTCATTTTCTTGGCTTGCTTCTCCCGAAAGCCCTTGCAGTGTCTTCCTAGAACCTGGGACTATGTGGAGAGAAGTGCTTGGAAGGAGAGTGGTGGTGGCGGGGACAGGTGCTGTAACAATGTGGATAATGTGGACAACAATTAGGGGGGAACAATACCCCGTGGTGGGGGGGCGGGGAGGGAGAGAAAGAGGGACAGAGGAAAAGCTTTCCTTCCATTCCAAAAAGACAACTTCAGCCCCAAAGAGTGGGTGGTTGTTCTTTGAAGCTCTCCAGCCCAAATTTCTTCTAAAGCAGACAATAGAATTAGCAAAGGGCCCCAGCCTGTTCTGCAGAAAATAAGCCAGCAGATGTCCGTTCAGAATAGAAGCCAAGTAAGTCCTTGGCAGAAGCTGAGGCTGTCTTACAGCAGGGGAGAAACAGCTAACAAAGGTTAGAAGCCAAACTGTCCTTTTTATTTTATCTCTTTTTAAATTACCACAGTGAGCATCCTGCAGCTAAATCCATTTCCACCCACTACTGTGCTCTGCCCCAAGGTTTCTTTGGTTGGGATCGTTCTGTGCTAATGTGGCTCAGGGACTTGGTCTCCAGTTCTCAGAGCTGGCTCCACAAGGACCGGGACGCGGTGGCTTCTTACACAAACTGCAGAGCAGGTGGGAGGCAGCAGATGGGAGGGCACCTCTTGCCAGTGCAAGAGAAGACTGCCAGATGGAGTGGCTGCCCTGACACGGGACCAGCCTTGCGACTCTGGGCAGCGATGGGGCCTGGGATGCTGCAGACACAGTGATGACCTGCCTGAGGCTGGCTGCCGCTCTCATCTCAATCCTGAGCTCTGAGCCAGCGCATACACTGTATGCAAATACACATGCCTGGTAAATCTACAAAGTCCAGGATAACTAGATGGTGGTATTCTATTGACAAATAAATTGGGGGGGGTGCGTGTGTGTATGTATGTGTGTGTGTGTATGCATGTGTGTGTATGTGTGTGTATGCATGTGCATGTGTGTATGTGTGTGCATGTGTGTAGGCATGTGTGTGTATGTGTGTGTGCATGTGTGTATGCGTGTGTATGTGTATGTGTGTAGGCATGTACATGTGTGTAGGCATGTGTGTATGCATGTGCGTGTGTTGTATGCATGTGTGTAGGCTTATGCGTGTGTGTAGGTGTGTGCATGTGTGTAGGCATGTGTGTGTGTCTATGCATGTGCGTGTGTGTATGCATGTGCGTGTGTGTATGCATGTGTGTGTATGCGTGTGGGGGGGGGCATGTGCGTGTGTGTAGGCATGTGCGTGTGTGTAGGCAAATGCATGGGAGTGTCTATTAAAGTATGAGCTCTTTCATTTCATCTGCCGCTTCCGTGGCTTGCCATAATAAGCAGTTTCAATGCAGTGACTGAGAAATACAAAGAAAGCACATTCAGCAGAGCCAGAAACACCAGCATGACTTCTTTTGGTCTCCTTGAGCCAGCCGGGCGACACTTCCACGGGCTCCAACCATGAATGCCTTGAGACTGCTCAGCTCCCCACAATCCCTTCCACACCACAGCCTCTGAAATCCCACCAGTAGTCCATAATGGGCGGGTCCAACAAGGCAGGGATGATTTTGGATGCAAGGTGCCCGAGTCATCTCAGAATGTCTCCCAAGTATGCAGATCTTGTCACAGGATTCACTCACTGATGCCTGCACTCTTAAGGATGGAGTAGAAGAATGGGAGTTTGAAAGGAGGGGTGTGGCTTCCAGGTTGTCAGGGAGAACCCCCCCCCCATGCCCATGGGAGGGGGAATGTGATCCTTGGGAGGGGCAGAGCTCAGAAAACACAGGGAATGATCCAAACCATCTAAGGTTACTTTAACCTACTCTACCCTATTTTGTCCCAAACTCCTCTCCATCTCCCATCCTTTAGAATGTCAGCTTTCTATGACTTTTCTCAGCTCTTACCACTCCCTCAACTTTCCCTTACTGACACCTCTCCTTCTCTCTGCCCCCACAGTGCCCTTTGTGAACCCAGTTACAGTGATTCCTTAAATCATTCAAAAGTATTTATGAGTCTCTACTGCATGCCAGACATGAGCAGATTAACAGAAAATGAGAGTCCTTGCCCTCAAAATGCCCATGGTCTCCTAGGGAAGACACACAGGCAAATCACCTTAAGCTGGTGTGATTAGTTCCTGTTGAAGGTGATTAGAGAAGCGCAAGCCAGACGTGTGGTTTACTCTTGCAGGGAGGAGAACAGCAGCTGAGGAGGGAGCTCGTGGCAGAGGGACAGGGGCCCAAAGACCGAGAAGGGGTCAAAAGCAGGGCATGTTTGGAAATGGCCAGGGGCACTGAGTGACCAGAGCAAAGGGGAGTCTGGGAAGTCAATGGAGATGATGGAAGATGTGTAGATTTGGTGTTTTGATTTTTCTTTTTTTTTTTTTAGGACAGGGTCTACAGGGTCTCACCACATAGACCAGAATCATAGTGATCTGCCTGTGTTCAGCCTGCCAAGCACTGGGATTACAGGCGCATGCCACCATGCCCAGTCTCAATCTCCATCTCAGTGGGCCCTGGGGGAGGGGTTGGCATGGCATGCTAGGGATCGAACCCCGGCTGCTGCATCTGCCTAAGCAGGTGCTTTAAACCTCTGTGCTATTTGGCCAGTCCAGAAGATGTGTAGACTTGGATTGAATCCACAGCTCTGACCTCTGAAACTAATCCTAATATCCCCAGGGAGTCCATGAGTGGGGTGAAACAGAAGCAGTGGTTCGGCTCATCCAGGGAATGTTTTGAAGAAGAGCCAAGCCAGGGGGAAGGACGCTCTGAAGATACTGAAGGTCAAGGATGCTCATGGCTAGAACCACAGAACTGACAGTAGACATGAGAAATACTGAAGGCCTAGAATTGGCCGGTCTTTAACACTTTTTGTACGGGGCAAGAAGGAAAAAGCAAGCAACTGGCAGCCTTCTAGTTGCAGGTGAGAGGATTCTGGGAATGGCAGGATCAGCCCATGAGACCAAAAAGATAGGAAAGATCGGAAAAGGGGGAAAGTCGTCTGTGAAGACAGTGAGGCTGGTGAGTAATTCGCGAGACGCTCAAGCGTGGGTGTCCGATCCGCTGCTCAGAAAGCAGGGCTGTCTGGGGAAACAGATTTGGGAATCCAGGTCATCAACAGCAGTCAGGAACCCGTGGGTCCATCCCTAGGGAGGGTCTCTAGGAGATTAGTGAGCACATCTGGCTGGCTAGCAGCAGCTAATACCTATGAATTCCAGTTTTCTTAATGTAAAGTGAGTACGGCCGGGTGCTGTCATGAGATACCATGAGATCAGAGATTCTTTTGCTTCTAGAACAAGTATCAGCAATGGAACACTCATACTAGGTATTTTTTTTCCTTTTCAAATTATTAATTGGTGCTTGACGCAACTTTCTTTTAAAAGAAAAGATTTTACTTTCCTTTTCATGTTGAAAATTTACATGAGTTAAAGGGGATCCCTCCAGGTGTCTAAAAGTGGCCCAGCTGTGCTCTCTCTGGTGTCTGATAAGAATTCTTTGAGTTCTTTTATTTGCAAATTGCTATGGTAAAAATGAGATTTAAAAATATGCATCAATAACCCCAGCAACTCTTTAAGGAGTAGACAGAACTTGAGTGACTAAAATAAGGTTAATGGGGCTGGGACTGGAATTCTATTCTCACCTGCCTACTTTGTTCTGTGTCAGAGTTATAGAATAAAAGCGGCTTCAGATACGAAACTGTTCTTCCCTTAAATAACTTACCTGAATGCGCCAACTGGGGAGCTGTGACACTGCTAAGCATTAGTACAGCAGTATGTACTATGCTGTCCCTATTTGCAGATTGGTCCCATCACTGACAGCAATGTGTGTTTCTCATTTTAGAGAAGAACTGAATCCAACAGCGCCAGGAATTGGACCAAACCCTCCCATCAGAAACTGTAGCTGTTCTCACCTGCTGTGCATCCTACCTGTTCCCTTCTGTCACCAGAGGCTTCTCTGGGTGAGTGGTGGACATAGAAGTGGCCCCCTCGTGAGATGCGTCCCCTTCCCCCTTGTGCAGCAGTGGCAGGATGTCTTCCTCAGCTGATTCTGCTGATTTCTTCTTCTTCCCATGATGGGACCCTCCATCGATCAGGTTCCCAAAATTACCTGCAGAGGCAGCAAGCAGCAAGGAGAGGGGGGCTTGGCGTCAACACATGCAAACAATGAGCTTGGCACAAGGAGTCCGAGCCGACGTGCTCTGATGAGCAGGAAGTGGGTCTCGGAGGAAGGTGGAAAGAACAAATGGCCAAAGGAGACCACAGGACAGTGAGCCACCCTGCTGCGCGTCCTTTATTTTTAATTTTGTAAAACCTACTAAATTAAAAATCAGCAAACAAAGGCAAGTAGATAAAAAGAGCCACTAGATGTTATAAGCATGTTTGGCATCTCAGTGTGTAGCCTTCAAACCTTTCCATAGAGCTGTTGGTAGTGGATCATTGTAGACGCGGCATTTTGCAACCTCATCAGTGTTATGATCTGAAGCCAAAGAAGTCCCCCAGAGGCCTCCTGTGTTTTGAGCGCGACTGGATTATGGGGGCGCTATGCTTGTCGGTGGATGAATCCCTTGACAAACTGGAATGTGCTGTCAGGACCTGGTGCAGGGAGGTCTCTTGGAGCACAGCCACAAAAGTGCATTCTTGTCCCGAGCTCGCCCTCCCCTCTGCCTCCTGGCTGCCATGGGAGAAGCAGGCTCTTCCACCCTTGCATCACATGTGCCTGGTTTGGCACCAGCCAGTTTTGGACTAAATCCCCTGGAAAAGGTGAGCCAAGTGTACCTGTCCTCCTCTAAGTGGCAGGTGGCAGGTATTGTGCCCAGCAACAGGAAGTGACTATGACATCTGGATTTTTCATTCATCAAAGTATCATGAATGTCTTCCCAAAACTTCTTCTCTAAGAGAAGACTTCTTGTGTAAGTCCTCAAAGACAATAGCATGGTTTTAAAAAGCAAGAGGAGGTTGGAGGGAAGGGATGGGGGGAAAGAGGGAGTGAGAAGGGGTGGAGGGAGAAGAGAAGCGAGGAGGGAAGCAGGAAGGAGAACATGTGGGGGAAATAGGGCAGCCTTTGCACTTCGGATGCCTTTGTACAAGAGTGGACGCCCCCCGCAAGGGCATCCGTGCCACTGAACTTTCCACTTCACAGCCTGGTTTCAAATGCTTAAAGGGACTACGATGAAGATTTACCACTTTGGAAGGAGCTCCAGAGCTAGCCGGATCATACACCTGGCCGACTGGGTTTCAGTGTAGCTTGTGATCACTGAGCCTCTTAGCTCGAGAGGTTTCCTCCTGCCCTGCTCATCTCTCCCTTGTGTCCTTTGTCACCTCCGAATCAGCACTCTGTACTTCTGTGGCAGATGCTCTTGGTGCCCCGGAGACCCCGTACTAGGAAGGGGTCACCAGTGCCCAGCTGCTGAGATGACTGGGAAGCCTTTCCTGGAGAACTGGCTTCTGCTGATGGAGGCTGCCTGTCCCTGCCTGTGTTAAGGCTCCCTGCCTGCTTCTGAAGCCACTCTCCAGGGACAGGAAGGTTGACCCCCTCGCCTCAAGACGGAACCAGCTCTGCAGGGCGCCTTGTGCCCCTGAGCACCCTCAGGATCAGGCTATGGTGGTCTCCCTGCCCTGGGGGGCCTGCCCTGTGCTCCCCTGTGGGAGGCACAATAACTCCGGGCCTCCAATACTGTTGCAAGTGAGTCTTTTCCTAAATCCTGTGAATCTGCCACATCATGACTCTGCGCCACGTATCCCTTAATGGTCACCTGAGTGCCTCAGACCTATAAAATTCTCCTGGTGCATCAGCATCATTAGTGACGCTGACTTCCTCTTCCCCTACCTCTGCTCAGCTAAGCTCCTAATTCTTCTCACCCCGCCTATTTCCCATAAATCTCCTGCTATGCCCCGGAGGTGGGACTTCCTGTCATAGCCCGGTTGCCTAGTTACTCAAGCCTTTTACCCGCTGACGTCATTTCCCTAGCCTCCACTATATATACCTAGAGTTTCGTTTGAATAGACAAGACTTGATCAGAATCCTGTCTTGTCTCCATTTCTCGTGTCTCCTGTCCTTTGTCCCCTCCTCAGTTCCCCGCTCCTCTCCCAGGTGACCTTCGTTGACTGACCCGCTGGCTCGGGACACTGCCCCTTCCACACTCTTCTTCTGAGAATTTGCCATCAAAATGTGAATCACACAAGAGTCCTCCAGGGCTACATGGCTCTGGGCCCCTCAGCTAAACAGGTCCCTGACATCACCTGCATACTTCTAGGATTCCTCTGCCATTCAGTTTCGGATAATTTACTCAAGCATCAGTGTACTCCTTGAGGATGGAATTGGGCTCTTCTGAATTTGTCTGTCTCCACTGCCCACCCCTGGTCGTGGCACAGAAGGTCTCCCTAACCGGTGCACCCACAGCCTCTGTGCCACCATGTCTACAGCAGTGTCTCCCTAGCATCGCTCCAGTTCTCTCTCTTCTTCCTCTCTCCACTCTTTCCACTTTAGTGGACCTGAGGGAAGCCTCATGGCATCGTACAAAGAGGAACAGACTTGTTGCAGTCTTCTTTTTAACATCCTCCCACTGGGTAAATGGGATGGCGATCCGGCCTCTCTGGACAGCCTCTCTGGATCACTCTCAGATGCTGCTGCCACCAGGAAATTTGGGGAAATCAATCCTGAAGCCACAGCACGAGAGCAGAGAAGGAGAACAGGGAGGGGGAGCAGTAGAATAGAATGTGGGTGTTTTAATAGAATAACAAGGATGAGAATTGTGACAACTGGAAAGAGAGTGGCTCAAGGGATGAGCTTTGAGTTCTTCTGGAGACAGGGATGGAAGTGAAGAGGCAGGACACAGAAGAGTTGATAGCTGAGGTCTCCACAGGAGAAGGCAAGATAGCATGGTGGAAGGGAACGGAAGGTGTGGAGGTTAGCATCGGAGAATGGGATCTTAGGGGACAAGCGTTCAGGGGAGGGACACGCTTGGATGCAGATTTCTTCCTCCCTGTACAATACAAGCCAAAATACTACCTTCCTGTCTATGCCAAGTTCTTCCCTGGACAGGTCCACCCTGGAGTCCTACAACAGGAGGCTCCTTCCTCTGCTCCAGCCCTCACATGCTTGATGCCAGACCTCCGATCTCTCTCAGTCTGCAAACCAAATCTCTCTCCTCAGAGCTAACCCTCCAGTCCCACTGCCTTCCCTTTAATATAGCATTCCCCAAGTCTCTGCACCTGTGGACATGCAGGCATGGGATTCTTCGTGATGGATGGCCCAGAAGGGCATGATCCTGCCTCCATTTCCTTCTGCCCTGTTACGGAAAAGCTACCTAAATGTGAGCCCAGACCTTCCCTGATAGAACGCTTTTCCTTGGAATAGTTCTGCCAGCTGCCCAATGGACCAGGGCATGTGGGATTGGATGTGTGTTATTCTGCATATGGTAACTAATTAAAACTTACAAATGTGTGAGGAGTTATGATTCTTTTTTGACAGATGAAAAACGAAGATCCAGGAACTTAAATGAGCCCAGGGTAATGGAGCAGGAGTAGTAACCTAAATACGTCTGAATCCAAAACTATACTTTTCATCCTTTGTCTTAGTTACTTTTTCCTTGTTGCTGGGACAAAATACCCAACACCAAAATTAAGGAAGGAAGTGTTCATGTAGCTCACAGTGAGTGAGGGTTTCAGCCCATACCTGGCTGGCTCCAGGGCTGAGTGGCACAAGGAACAGAGCAGTCATTCACGTCAGTGGAAGACAGCAAAGAGCAAAGGGAGGGGCAGCTGGCCAGCCTCTCTCCCTCCCTTACGTTGTATGCAGATTACCCCAGCGCGGCGCAGTACTTATACCTATAATCCCCACATTGGATCATGAATTAATCAGAAACTCTAGAAGCCACCACAATGTCTGCAGGACAACTAAACACAAAGCATAACATCATTTCAAAGAATAAAGATAAATCTACTCCTTCTATAATGATACTAACATAGATAAGGAATCATTCATCTCTTTCCAAGATGAAGGTACAAACCACTACCACAGGGTCACCAGCAGGGTGACCAGCTCAGGGCACTAATTACTTTAGTCAGGAAGTAAGTCCTAAGCCTTGCGCTGGTCTGCACTCACCAATAGAAACTTCAAAGCTGATGGGTTTATCTCCAATCTTTCGGTCAATCATGGTAGCTTCAAAAAATGCTCCAAAGAGTAAAAATTCCTCATACTTTTCTGGTATAATCTAAGAAAGAAAAAAGAATTACTATACAACATTAGCTTTCTTTTTCTCCCCAGGAAGCTAACTTAATGCTTCTGACTTGTCCATAACCATTTTAGACATTTGAGTCTTTCCTACCCTGAAATTCCATTTTTCCCCACTAGTCAGACTGGCCAGAATCACAGCCAACACATGGCAAATCCAACCTCGGCCACCATCTAGAATGAGGCAAGTATGACCTTCTGAAATACAGAAGCTCTCCTTTCAAGCCAGAGGGGGCTGGGTGTGAGGATCTTTCTCAAATGCTGTTGATAAAGTAAATGCTTTCGACAACCCTCCCCCGACCAGGCCTCTGGGAAACAGAAAGTGGAAGATGAGTTGCCAAGAATCCCAGGATTCAACCCTTACATTTGACTGTAATGTTCTGGTTTAGAGGGAGCGCGCACACGTATTATATTAGGTGTTTCTTCTAATAACCTTGAAAGGTCCTAAGCTGGACCATTCCCATTTTACATATAAGGAAGCCATGCCTTGAGGGTAACTTTTCCAAGTCTTCTGATCACAGATCCCTGTACTCTTTGAGCTCTAACGTGTGCTAACCCAATGCCTTGGTGTGGCTGCAAAGAAAGACTTTACTGCAAAGAATAATAAGCAACTGGAGATAGATGAGAGGACTGGGTGGACATGTAAACACTGACCACTCAGGTACATCCAGCGGGATTGTGTACACCATGGTTGCCCTGGAAGCTGGGGAGAAACCCTCCCTGGACTCAGAATCATGAGTGCTTTAGAGTTCACCTTTTTACTCAACAAACTAAAGCTCCCACAGCAAGCTCAGTTCAGACAAGAGATAAAATTCTGTATCATTTTTACCAGTATTTTTCTCTCTTTAAAACAAAAAAGGGGGGA